GAAAAAAAACAAAACAGCACCCTTCAAAGTTTTCACAGCCTCCGCCAGCTTGTCTGATAGCCAATGCACATGTGCCTGGCAGCATGGCTGTAGGCACATGGGTGCTTTTTTCTTTTCTTTTCTTTTCTTTTCTTTTCTTTTCTTTTCCTTTCTTTTTCTTTTTTGATTCTAGTCAAGACATAGGTCTGTTAAACTCTGTTTTTTTTTTTTTTTACTTTTCCAAAGTTTTTTTTCTCAAAATATTTTATTAATGAAGGCCCAGTGCCCAAGGCTTACAAAAGTCCAAGATGACCGGACCCACCGGCTCCTGCACCTATATTTCTTGCCTATCGTGAAATTTTATTTGAGCCTTGACAACACAACTGACGGTCTGAAGATGCGAGAAAGATACGAGCAGCACGTTCCCGCATGCATTTATCAGCGAAATTTTATTTGAGCCTTGACAACCCAACTGACGTCTTCAGACCGCCAGTACACCGCCCCAGCCTTGCAGATTTTATTTATTATTATTATTATTATTATTTTTTTAACCACCAGGGGCGAGGTCCCATTAGCAGTCGGATAGGAGTGTGGCCGATCCAGTGTGACACTTAGTGGCAGCGAGCTGACAGGTTCATTACGAATTTCTGGGCTGAGAAAACAGGAGAAAGGAAAAAAAAAAAAAAAAAAAAAGAGAGACCTGGCACCGGAAGTCACGGCAGAGTGCTTCCCAGCCATCAGATCACATATGATCTGATGGTGGTGGTTGCAACAACAGTGAACAAAGTAACGGCCACATTTTCTGGACTAAACTCGACTTCTGTCAGCAGTGATCCTGACACCCTCCATATACTCTGTGATTGCAGGAGAGCTCCACCGAATGAGATAATTGCACAACAGCAAGTAAAATACTGAAAATCTTCTATCCAGTGGGCCTATGGCCGACCCCACCCTCTTTTGGGGTTGGCCACACCCCCAACCGATTGAAGAGATTCTGGCGGGAAGCTTTCTTTGCACGGGCATGCCCAGTGTTAAGGAGAGGAGGAGGGGAACAAAGATCTCCTTGCTTTTTTGGGTAATAAAATAAAAGTAAAATACTGACCGTGGGATGACGAGTACTGCACGGCAGGATTTGGGTCACTCAACTGCCCCACAAACTGGTTTCTATCCTATCCCGTTGCTAGTGGGACCTCGCCCCAGGGGAAAAGGACGACGGCCTTGAGATATTGTCATAGGATGGRAACCTTTTTTTTTTTTCCCTTTTTTTTTTTTTCCGGTTGCCAAGGTATTTCAGAATTTTAGTATTTCACGCATCTGCCTTCAATGGAGTTTTTAACTCAGGTCTGTATTTCAACAGGAAAA